CAGTCGCAGGGCCATGCAAGGAGATGGTGAGCTGGAGTCACACAAAATCGAGAGTGAGAAAAAAACCCGATCACAGTGCCTGCATGTACCACCGACAGAGACAACGGCGCCGATGGGACTGAAGGCCTACCCTAGCGAGACGCGCGACTAGCCCAAGCGATCTTGGCGCGTTTGGTTAGTGCACAACCCCCACTACTACGAGCCTGCCCCGCCAAGCACGCAGCGAGCGCCTCAACTCTCTGTGATTCACCACCAAGTCACGAGAGACTCTGCTTACTTAATCCTTCACTTTCAGACTCACTTTCCAACTTCCCCACCACTGACATTGGCCACCACTACATCAACCACGACCGGATTAGACCACAACCTACAATGGGTCGTCTCGTGACACTTTCGACCTGCAGCCTGAACCAATGGGCCCTGGATTTCACTGGCAATCTTCAGCGGATCAAGGCAGGTCATCTCCTCCACCGACTACATACGAAACATATACTGACCTCGTACAGGCAAGCGTCAAGATCGCAAAATCTGCTGGAGCAAGGTATGCGACTACGCCAGAGCTTTCAATCCCAGGATATGGCCTGCTGGACCACTTTCTTGAACAAGACACCATAAGGCATTGCTGGGAAGTTCTCGCCCAACTCCTAACAGATAGGGAGCTCGATGACATTCTCGTCGATGTCGGCATGCCAGTCCGCCACTCAGGGAACCTCTATAATGCGAGAATCGTGTTCCTCAATGGCCAGATCTTGCTGATTCGCCCCAAGATGAGCCTGGCAGGACAAGGAAATTACAGAGAAGGACGATACTTTATACCCTGGAACCGCCCCCAACAGGTGGAGCAATATGAGCTCCACGAGCTGCCTGCCGCTGCGCTTGCGTTACAAGAGACATCTTTTGTTCCGTTTGGAGATGGCATAGTATCTGCTCTCGATTGTTCTTTCGGGTATGAGACTTGCGAAGAGCTCTTCACACCACAGGCACCGCATATCCAATTATCTTTAGCCGGCGTGGACATCATCATCAACTCCTCGGGTTCTCATCATGAACTGCGAAAACTCGATACTCGCCTCGACTTGATTCGGTCAGCCACTGCCAAGTGCGGAGGTGCCTACCTTTACGCTAACCAGCAAGGGTGTGATGGTGATCGACTATTCTATGACGGCAGCGCAATGGTACTCGTCAACGGTACCGTCCGCGCACAGGGTACCCAGTTCTCGTTGCAGGATGTTGAGGTGATTACTGCGACAATCGACCTAGAAGAGATTTGGTCATACCGCACAAGCCCCTCACGAGGCTTACAAGCCGTGTCAGGTCCACGATATGAGCGCTTCAGGGCAAATCTACGCATATCGTCTTCGGATGCAGACTTTGACCCAGACATTCGGCCCACCCCAGCTCAGACATTACGCTATCACACCCCCGAAGAGGAAATCGCTTTGGGACCTGCATGCTGGCTGTGGGACTATCTTCGTCGATCCGGTCAAGCTGGCTTCATGTTGCCCTTAAGCGGAGGCATCGACAGCTGCGCTACAGGTACTCTTGTATACTCAATGTGTCGACTGGTTTACGAGGCTGTGAAAGATGGTAACGAGCAAGTTCTCGCGGATGTCCGTCGCATCGTAGGCCCATACCACGACAAAGATAACTGGATACCTGAGAGCCCGCAGCAAATATGTAACGGCATCCTCCACACGGTATACATGGGAATGTCGCAGCAGTCAAGCGTGGAAACAAGGAGCCGTGCTAAGAGGCTGGCAGAAGACATTGGATGCCACCATGTTGAAGCGGATATCGACGACATCTACAACAGCCAGAAGAATCTTTTGACAAAGGCTACGGGCTTCACACCGCGTTTCAGGGCTCACGGCGGTCAGCCAGCAGAGAATCTCGCGCTACAGAACATTCAAGCCAGGACTAGACTTGTATCGTCTTACTACTTCGCCCAAATGCTCCCTATGACTCGGGAGCGCCCAGGCGGAGGTAGTTTACTAGTCCTTGCCTCAGGCAACGTCGACGAGTGTCTACGTGGATACCTCACCAAGTACGATTGCAGTAGCGCCGATCTGAATCCCATTGGAAGCATCTCCAAAACCGATCTAAAGCGCTTCATAAGCTACGCTCAGAAGGAATTCTCCCTGCCCATCCTTGGCGAGTTCATCGACGCAACACCAACCGCCGAACTCGAACCCCTCACCGAAGGTTACGCCCAAAGCGACGAAGTCGACATGGGCATGACATACGCCGAGCTCGGTGTCTTTGGAAAGTGTCGCAAAGAGTTGAAACTGGGTCCTTATGGTACTTTTGTCCGCCTTGCGCATGAATGGTCAGATGGCTATACGCCTCGAGAGGTTGCGGTCAAGGTTAAGCGCTTCTTCCACTACTATGCGATAAACCGGCACAAGATGACGACCATGACGCCGAGTTACCATGCAGAGGCGTACTCACCGGACGATAATCGATTCGATCTCAGGCCTTTTCTTTACCCGCCGTTCTATCAGAGTTGGAGCTTCAAGCGCATTGATGAGGAAGTGGAGAGGTTGGAGAAGAGGGCACAAGAGAAGGCTGATGCGAAGAAGTGAGGAGAGTGCTCGGTGTGAATGATGCTCAGAGCCATGGTATAGGTATCCGCAAGAATATACATGGACTTTGTGAACTCTAGTGATTGGCTTAGAGCGTTATGTGTATACTTATACTCTACTTTGAGGATACTTTCAAGAAATAAGAATACTTCTAAGACTGTCATACGATGCCAAGGATGACGCATACCAAGTATATATAGGTCTCATCCCACCTTGTTTTTGCTCGGAAGACCTAATACATACAATCATCCCCCATCCACACTCTACGAAGCCTTTAAACTATATCCTCGTCAATATCTTTTTGAATCTCCACCTTCTCCACGTCCTTGCTAATGCTTGCGTCACCTCTGTCTCTATCGTCCTCGCAGTCGAAAAGATTCGCTGATGGAATTGAACCCCCACACCAGCGTTTAACCACGCACGGGGTGCGACAGGAGCAAGAAGAAGCGCTATACATGTTTTTAGTCAAGGTCTTTGATCAATTGTGCTCTGAAGATGAATAAACACTTACATCTCAGCGAGAGGTGTGTTGAAGATAGCCTGCTCCGCGGCCTCCTGATCGATGACGCGAACCTTGTCTTCTGCAGATAAAGCAAAGAGTTCATTCCATTTGTTCTTTGTGTCTTCCTTCAAGATCCCGCCTACAGCTACTTTTGCGCGTAGGTCCTTGACAAAAGGCCATGCGAAGGTCATGATCAAGTCTACCATGGTACGTTGGCAGCAAATCATCCTGCCATCGCTGTCATCCAACGTATTGTTAACTTTGTGTGCGATTGTTTTTATACCATGAGGATACCGGGAGGCGCCATCATCTGGGCTCCTGAACCAAAGTTGTAGTGTTGATAGTTTGTCTAGTGTTGAGAGTAGCGTAATGGAAGACTTGGACCTGCTCTTGTGTAAGTGGGTCCTCGGTTCTCGACCAAGCATATCTTTGAGATTAAGCAAGTCGAGCCAATCGCTCATGTTAAAGTCAAGAATAATGTGATTGAGCCAGTTGTACTTCGGTTTAGTGCGCGCATCGGGGATAGAATCGAAATGTACTAGTGAGAAGAAGCACTTTCGAGTGTTCTCCCAGCCAGCCTGGAGTGCCTCGCTGTGAATTTGCCTGCTGACAGACAGCAGTGCGATGTTAGGCTCGTGAGCGGAGCAGCCTGTTACTCTCTGGAAGTCTCCCTGAGACAATCGAAGAAAAGTACGTCGTCGCTGCATAAGGCTGCTATCGAGCCAGTTAGGTAAGCCGATGCCGAGACGAACTGAATAACTGTTGAGTTCAACCAAAGGGTAAATCCGAGGACCGAGGGCGAATTCGAAGACCGTCATACGAACCTCGGCAGGAAGGTCGAAAAGACGGAAATACTTCCCGTTGAGCTTCCACCACTTGCGCTGCGCCCTGTAGCCTTTCTCGCCAACTAGACCACTTCCATCAGATAACCTTTTGACAGACTTGTAGCTAGATAGCAACCAGTCTTTCAGCAAAACCCACTTTGTACCTATCTTTAGGCAGAGATTGTCTGCGGTTGGGCCAGGTAGTCCAGAAGAGAAGGTCACCCAGGCAGTAAGTGGAAATTCGTGATAGTCATCTATGAAGGTATACAGCTTGCTGCAGTAGGTGGTATAATCAGGCAAAGCCAACCAGAACGGCAAAGACTCGTCGGTCGGCGATACTCGGAAGCGCATATTTGCAACCTCGATGTTTTGACCATTTAGGCTGCGGATGAGGCCCAGGATTTCTCTAATGACTGGATCGTCCTGGCGCGGCAGCGGTTCAAACTTGTACTTGTAGTTGTGTGGCACCCAATCGAGCGTTATGAGTTTGTCGTCAGGAGGTGGTGATAGCCGTACTGTGTTGTATCGGTTTATCGATTCGCCTTCTCCCTTGTCTTTTTCTGCTTCGCGTTGGAGCTTACGGATGCGAGTCCTAAGGTAGGGCATGTTGGGCGGTCTTAGCGATGGCGTCCTTGAGCGAGTATGAGTTTTAGGTAGCCGCTGGTGAAATCAGTGTGTTGGTTGGAGACAAAATTCACAATAGAATGAGGAACTATAGGTGTTGTGGTATATGTACTCGATAGGAGCAAATGTGGAGTCATGGCAAGGCAACACATCGTGGTCCGTGATGTACAGCTCGGAAATGGTCAATTCACTCTCCAGGAGCGTCGCAATATTAACAGAGGTACCCGACGAGAACGAGACAAAATACGGGCACATCAGCGTGGGTCGATTGGACATCAAGCAGGCGAACACACTGGGCTGATCGTTCAGGCTAGAGAAGGTAATTATTCGATTGACAAAGTGGTGTCTTAGTCGGACATCTTAGCAGACACATACCACCCGAACTCCCGAAGCGCCTCGCTTTTCGAATCTTCGTAAATCAGAAAAAGCGGTCAGATGTCAAAGTCGATAGTCTTTATTCTTCCAAGCTCACCACAACAAAAACGCCCCAACAAGCACCGAAGTCACAAAGAATCCTTGACTCCTAAGGGCATGCGCGGCACTAGTATCTTCAGTACCACAACACGACTGATCGTTGTATGTAACGTTGTTCGCCGTGGCCGCAACTTGAAAGACACTCCCGTTAAAATTGCCAAAATTGTAATAATCAACGAGTATCCAGTTCGGCGGCCTGTCCCACATCTTCTCGCAATTCTGCACATTGAGCCCAACACTGCCATTGCCAGAGACAGCGTTAACTTGGTCGAGGAGCGAGTACGCTGGTATGAGAATGCTGCTGACGCCAGGAAGACTGACTTCGATGTTGAGGTTGTGGTTCATCAAGTACATGCGGTTGCGTGAGACATCTTCAGCTTGATTGGGAGGTCGCTGCTCGGTGCATGGGAAGGCGGGATTTGTAGGAGAGAAGGGCGTTTGCCATTGGTAGTTCCATTCGTCGAGGAGCCATGGAACTTGGCTTTGATCTGCATTGTAGTCTAGCATGACTACCACGCGCTTGTTTTTGATAATCATCTCAGCTAGTGTAGGCCAATCGGTCAGGTTCATAGTAGCTGAGGGTGGGGTCCATAGGTATTCCATCATTCCTGAATCTTGAAATGGCGCAACGTAGTCCGTCGCTGGTATCTTGGTGTCATCTCCGTTATTGTTGCCCATCATGATAGCAATGACTTCGTATGGATGTTCGGCGAGCCAGCCTCTGACCGTTGCGAGGTATGATTCGAGGGTGCCCACGTCGAGCAGGTTGCAAGAGGTATGGCAGAGACGTATTCCAGAGGAGGCGTTGGGTTTATGGGTCTCGAACTGCACTATCATGGAATGTCAGCCAATGCCTTCTTTACCATGTATCAGTAGCTTACGCCCTCTGATTCCGTCGCTGAGCTGGTTAAGCACTGGATAGACTTGGTTGCTGGCTGCATTGTGTGGTTTCACGAATGGGCTATTGTGCGCGACGACCATCGAAACGTTGGAAAATCTCCGTTCGCAGAATTCGACGTGTCCGTTGCATGGTCGAGTATTACTTGGCCGAGGACGAGCTGAAGTTGTCGCTGAAACGGTACCGTTTGCGGAATTGGTCGAAGGGGGCAGACCGACTATAGCCGTGACATCTTCGGTTGTCGTCGAAGATGTAGCGGTAGCATTTTGCCGCCCGGAAGCAGTCGAGGTCAGAACTATGCCTGGCAGGCCGCTCGAGAAGCTGGCAGAGTAGGTGCCAGCACTTCCACTGGCAGCGCCGGTGATCACTGTGACATCGCTGCTAGGTATAGGTGTGTCTGGTGAAGATATAGAAAAAGACTGAGCAGTTGTAGGTTTCGTGAGTAAGACCAAAGGGAAGAGAAGTAAGGTAGAAGGAAACATGAGGACGATGCAATGCGAAAGAATGACGGAAGTGCTGGTCAGCAATTGTTATGCAGTATCCACAAACAAGCAATGCTGTGTGCTGCGATGATTGAAGAAAAATGCCCAAGACAGTCTGCCATATTGCCATTGCGTTGGTGGCTCGTCTTAGCGCACACTCGATGGAAAGCACGATGACGGCATGCTTTCCCCAACCGCCCTACACGTTGTCTCCGGATCTGCGCGGGGAAGCTAGAGGCAACCGTCTCGACAAACCTATCCGTCCTGGACAACACCTTCGAGATTGATCGGAAACTATCGATCTGACGGCAGCCGCATCATCGTTTGTACGACTGCAGTGGGGCTGGTATTCGCGGCCTGCGAGCTTGCGGTGGTTTGAAGCGCGGATAGCTGTCAAGAGCGGCATTGTGAGGTATATTGACGCGTCATTAGCGCCCGACGACCTAGGGTCGATGCAATTGACATTGCCGAGGGCCTTGTCGTGAGAAGGGTCTCGACTATCTCAATGGTGGTGAAAGAGGAGGCTGAGTGATTAGATACGCGGTGGAGGACGCTCGCCCCAAGTCAGCCTCACGCGTCACGCTAGTTGCTTAAGCTTCGAGGACTCGATTTAAGCCTTGAGAGCAACCAAATCTCATGCTTGAGTACATGCATATTGAGCCATGCATATTGAGCCATGCAACGCACCGACTATGTGCATTGCTTACCTCGATGTTCTGGCCGTCCCTGCGTCCCTTCATGCTGCTTTCTTAGCGTAAAGGGATCTACAAGCAAGGACCCGTCCAGGCCTCAACAGCGCAGCGTAGGTCGTTTTGGAAGCATAATTGCTCAGAGTATGCAAAAGTAGGAAGCAATTATCTGGTGCATTCTGCAATGAGTGCCTGTGTTAACGTGGATCTTGGTGTATTTCATGTTTTGTTTGTTCAATTCCCACAGTTGCACTCGCGACGCGAACAACTCCTCCCACAAGGATGTTGACGACAAACCTTCATCCCTCATCGTTTCTTGAAGGCTGTAATCGTACTTGTACTTTCATTTTCTTGTATTCCAAGAACTACGCTCCTGACCTGAATCTTGACACAACTCGGCGTAACTGTATTACGAAATCAATCAATGTACATCTCCCCGTTCCAGACTGTCCCTGAACAAAAGCAAAAGTCCTGCAAAAACTTACCAGATTTCCCCGCGCCTGTCACCGGCACCGCCTCGCATATCCTATCCCCTGAAATGTGTAAGAGACCAATCAGCATGAATACCCTTTGTACTCACCCCTGTCCGACTTCTCGGCTTCCCAGTCAATGGGGTCCTGCGCGTTCATGAAGTTGTCCATGTTGAAGGTCACGATTAGGATGAGGTATGCGGAAAATGTATTGCCAGTCAGGAAGACGCCGTCAGAAGCAAGGGTGAGGTTAGAGTGGTCGGAAGTGATGGAGCAGATGAGTTTGTCCGCGTAGCCGCGATTGGCATGGCAGAAAGGAACAAGAGTGAGTAGAATGGGAAGAGGAACAAGTGTCTCAATAGTGCTGGAATGTAGTTTGGGGTGAGAAGAAAGTAACTAAGTTTGTAAAATTCCTGGAGAGGCACATTTGGTCACATCACGATGGTTGGTACCTGACTGGACGTACACATGGGACGGACATCTATGTAAATGAGTGTTCATTATTGATTAGCATTATCTGCGTAGCACATTAAGTCGTAAGTTTTCCATTGGTCTTATCCCATAACGACCATCCCGTCACCCTCTTCGCAAATCAAACAAATACCCTTGTCACGTTGACTGAGACACACGTCGGGTTGTCCGGCTTGCCTGCACCCAATCCCCACACGAGGTTGTTGTACTGATAGCTGGAGTAGGATGTGTCGCACGCATACCAGCGGTAGAAATCCTGATAGCTGCCTGTATAGTTCTCGCCCGGAACATATGCCTGAAGGGTCAACTCGTCCTGAGAGTTGAAAGCAAGCTGCGTTGCGTCATCGCTGCCAGGGCTGAGGGTGAAGGTTGCGAGATTGGAAGTCGGGTCAAGGCCAAAGGCCGCGGATGATGGAACGTCGAGAGTGCTTGTGTTCAGCCACCAGGTCAGGATGCCAGGTACGCCGAAAGATGGCTCTGGTGCCTGAGAGTAGATTGATGTGTTGAATTGGAATTCTGCGCCAGCGAGAGGTTCTGGGGCGTCCCCGGCTCCAGCATTGCTCAAGCAGAGTGATTCTATCGCTGCACCGACGTGACAGGCACTGATTGTGTCATTGACACCACCATCCTCTGATGTGACGACCAGGTAGAAAGGTGCAGTTGTGATGTTGTAGTACGGCTCTTCTTGTGCGCTGGCGATGGCAGCTGCCGCAAGGGTCAGAGCGATCGATGAGGTCTTCATGCTGATTGATGTTTATTAGGTTGGTAGGCGGTTGACGCAGGGATAGGTTTTGTGAGGTTGATTAGAGATGGGTTGAATGGATGGATGGTGTTGTGAGTGCATTTCTTCAACAACGGCACAGGCGAGCTTTATACTCACGATCATCCTTCGTAGTCGCCGCAATCGCGCAGCCTCGTCGCAGCTCCCCCAAAGGTTCCACCTGCACAACGGTCATGTGTACCACGATAGCGGCACCCAGCCAGCCCATGACGTTCCGCTAGCCGGTAGTGTTGCGAGCTTTGCCACACCCATGGTGATCTTTTGCCAGTCGGCTGCTAAGACCCGTATTCAGGGCCGCACGGCATGCCCGATGAGGGACCGTTCACCTCAAATGGGGCACTCATAGATCAACCCCGCGCTTTAGCGAACGAAGTTTCCCCCAGCCTGTCGGATAAGCTTTGCATAAGTGCCATAAGTGCCACAGCCGCACAGGGCGCCAGGGTGCATGTAGCGCAAGGATCAGCTGTTGATACGAGGAGCAAATCGATAGCTCAGTACCATACATGCAGGTAGAAAAAAGCAAGATGCGGCGAAAGGCTACGGTTCTGGGTGTCCGCAATATGAAAGTGTATTGTAAGCACTGATTTGGGAGGCTGATTAAGCGGGGTACGAGATGCCATATGAAGGTGCTCGTGATGTGCTGATGCACAAAATATTGAGGTTGCTTGTGTATCCCTGTACCATACGAAAACGTAGAAAAGTGGAAAGGTGCTTTCGATGACGCAGGGAGGTTGGCTGGCCTTAAGCCACCGGACTTTCTGTTAGCGCTACATCTTATCGATTGCCAAAGTCGCCGACATCGTCCATGGCTTCAGGTTCACAGCCTTACACCAACTATGAGACGAGCGATTACAACCAGGTTACTTCCTTCGTGATGGTCGATTTTGCTTCCGGCATATCCGCCAGTACCTTTCGCATCTAAACACGATGGGCGCAACCACAATAACATAACCCATGCGAAGCGTACAGGAAATTGGTGAATTCAGCTAATACGGCATTTGTATGCTACCATTACAGCTCTATGTTCTCTTACATGAGAGCGTGCGCCTCTAAAGGCACTCCCACATGTCTATCCTAAAGATCTCGTCCAACTATGGCGTGCTGACTGGCCTACAGACGACATATGCGATAGTGGCGTAAAAGCCTTGCTAACATCCCATTTGTACCCGCAGCACACGAACTCCTCTCCGCTTGCCCACAACGCATAGCTCCATCGTGTATCCAATTCCTCGGCCGACGACCACACTAGCGACGTCTTACTCCTCCGTCATACCCACTGGCACCTAGAGCAGTGTCCGGTCCATCGTCAGCACGCGCGCTCTTCACCCCGTTCGTTCGCTCTACGCGTTGATCACCGGATTTCGGTTGTGTCAAATACCAGCAGGTCCAAGTGATCCAACAGAAGATTACGTCGAACCCTACACTGCTTACAGCTGGGTGTTCCAGCAGAGCACTCTGGATTCCCACGAAGCCGGCGTAGGCGTATGCTCTTGCAGTTGTCCATGCAAGCATTAATCCGGCGTTTCCCAGAACCAATGCCCACATAAAATTGTAGGTCTTGTCGGTAGATTGAGGATCGTCGTTGAAGTACCCAGCTGGTACAATAGCGCGGATAATGGGCAAGATCATCAGGGCGACGTGCGGAGCCATAAGCACCGGCATAAAGTGCGTGGGATGGTGCCAGTAATGTTCATCGGCCAGTTGCATCGCCGGATACGCTGTTGCAAATATGGCAAAGAGGTTCAGTAGCCAAGGACCTAGCCATGTTGGCCGACGTACACCGGATGACGACGACGGAGCAGGTGTAAGTGGGCTTAGAAGCAAGGTGAGTAAGAAGAGGTTTGTGGCAAAGCTGATGGCTACTATCTGGCCAAGCAGCATGAATGCCCAGGTATATCTGATACCACGCCGAATACCTATGTTCATTAGTTATTGCTATCCGTGAATATATCAAGTCTGTTTTACCTTTCTGCTCCAAATACAATCCCAGACCCAATGCAAAGAAAAATATCTGATGTGACCACCAGTATCTCGCATTGCCTACAATGACAGTCTCCCATGCCTCCCGAAATAAAGAGGTCTCCTTCAACCACAATCCCCAGTGTTTATGGTGTGGTTCAAGTTCGTAGTAGCTCCGCCACATCAGCCATGATTGATAGCTGACCTTGAAGTACTGAAACATGTACGTCCATGTCGTGAGCAGGCTGCCCAAAGCAAGACCACTGAACAGCCAGACATGTGATCTAGGCGGGAGCTGCGCGGTTGTTGACTTTTGCAGCACATTGGCTCTTTTGAAGAGTCTCAAAATGATGAGTACAGCGACAGAAAGACATGTTAACAGATAGGAAAAGAAGATAGCGTAGGGTCGAGTGTTGGTGTCAGACCCTTCTGGGGGCGGTTCGCGATGCATGTAGCGCTGCGGGACAGAGTACCCTGGCGGTCCGAATCCTGGAGGGGCCATGGTGAGACGATCTGAGGGGTTTGTTGGGCAGCCATCACGTACAGTATGCTCTCCCGCCTTTATGCTATCGTCGACAAGTACGAAACGTGTCAATTGCGGATCAAAGGGCTCCTCTGCTTTGCCGGCAATGTGTATTGATTAAACGGCTATCTTGGGGTCCAATTCCTAGGATGCGGCAGCGGTCGGTTGTTGCGCCAATGACTACGTGGCTGACGCAGGGATAGACGCTCTCCGCAACACGTGCCCAGGTGCTTCGGTGCCAAGGCGCCAGCGCGATCGTCATGTTTTCCCAGGTCTGTCGCGGTCTCGTCTTCGAAGATTCTCGTCCTTTGTTTTGCTTCAAGTAGCTCTCCTCTCCTGTGGTGACTGTCATCTGTTTACTCTTGCACATTCTCATACCCTTCGTCTGTCACAACGTACTGCAAGCGGCAAACATCACAACACGGTGATGTCAGGCACACGGACCATTTAAGCTTCGCAAACCCTGATTGGCCGTTAGCTCCATCATTCGGACCTCACCGCCAGACCCAGGCTACCAGACGCCCAAGTTTCGTAGCTCCGTCGATATTTTCTCATCTACATAGTACTGAGGGATCTGTACATCTGTCAAGCTATCGCAACCATGACCGACACGCCGCAGACAACTGCAGGTGCCGATCCCAAGGAGGCCAGGGTCCTCGAACAGCATTTAGACCCAAGCTACGACTTCTCAGAGTTTGATCCAGCAACACCGGCTCAGGAAGATGGCGCAGACAGCGCTTCCAACTCAGGCGACCGCCAAATGCCAGAGTCGTCGTTGCGACTGCAGGGCGGCGATATCCATCGTGATCTGTACAAAATCGCTGCACAGAACCGGCGGCAAAAGTTGCACCAACGAGCAGCAACCTTTTCCGACGCAGTACATTTTGGCCGCAACAGTGCGCCGTCTATTTCAGATGTTGACCATGACGAACTCCCCGTTCGCGACCAGCTTGCACCCGGCGGACTGAGACGACAATACTTGCAGCGGCAAAGCAAGCGTGCCAGCTACATCTCGGAGCCTGTGACGCGAAACTTCATCTCATTCCTTGAGCTGTACGGCCAGTTTGCTGGTGAAGATCTTGACGAAGATACAGACGAAGAGTCTGCCATTGACGATGAAGAGGAAGAGGCGCAAGGCGAGCGCAGACCACTTCTCGGACGACGACAGAGTTCGAAAAGACTGAGGCAACAGGGCGACGCAGACCAAGTGAAGACCTTCTTCACTCTCCTAAAGGCCTTCATCGGTACTGGAATCATGTTTCTGCCCAAAGCCTTCAAGAACGGTGGAATGCTGTTTTCATCCGTTACTATGATCTTGGTATCTGCCATCACCGCACTGTGTTTCGAGTTACTGCTGGCGACGAGGAAGAGATATGGTGGCGGTGGTTACGGTGATCTAGGTTCCATTGTCGTGGGACCGAGATTTCGTGCCCTCATCCTGATTTCCATCACGCTGTCCCAAATTGGCTTTGTATGCGCCGGTCTTATCTTCACGGCAGACAATCTCCGATCTTTCCTTGACGCTGTTGCTCATGCAGAAGAACCGCTCTCAACCAATGCGCTCATTGGTATCCAGATTGCTGTTCTGATACCCATGTCCTTCATCCGAAACATCTCCAAGCTTGGACCTGCCGCTCTTCTCGCCGACGTCTTCATCCTCATCGGTCTGACGTACATCTACTGGTACGACATCTCGTGGATCGCCAAGATGGGAGGCTTCCACCCGTCTATTGAGCTTTTCAACCCTCGTGACTTCACCATGACCATCGGTTCCGCAATCTTCACCTTCGAGGGCATTGGGCTCATCCTTCCCATCCAGTCCAGCATGAAGGAGCCCGAGCACTTCAGCAAGCTCCTCTACCTTGTAATGCTTATCATTACCGTCATATTCACGTCCGTCGGCGTGCTTTGCTACGGAACTTTTGGCGAGAACGTGTCGGTCGAGGTCATTACCAATTTCCCCCAGTCTAGCAAGCTCGTCAATGCTGTCCAGTTCCTCTACTCTATGGCCGTCCTGGTCGGCACACCAGTGCAACTCTTCCCCGCTATGCGTAACATCGAGCTTAAGATCTTTGGCCGCGCATCCGGCAAGCAGAGTAACATGACCAAGTGGAAGAAGAACGCTTTCAGGACTAGTCTTGTCATTCTGTGCGGTCTCATTGCTATCCTTGGAGCTAGCGACTTGGACAAGTTTGTCGCGCTCATTGGAAGCTTTGCTTGTGTGCCTCTGGTGTATATTTACCCTGCTTTCCTGCACTACAAGGGCGTGGCCAACCGTCCTTGGGAGAAGTTCGGTGATGTCACTATGATGGTTGTCGGAGTTGTTGCCATGGTGTACACTACTAGTGTTACACTTGCTAGGTGGTCTGAGACTTGAGATTAGACAGATGAGGAGGAGGGGTCGTGGAAAAAGTCCTTTTATAGTACGGCGGGCATGGGCTTACTTGTTGCATAGTTTGTTATTTTGGCATGGCGTTCT